GGGTGGGTGGGCAGCAGCTTCCTGAGCTCCTGGAAGGCGCCGTTAACGTGCTGCTGCCGCCAGCGCTCTCGGCTGTTGGTGAACACGCGACGAGCCACCTTCTGGGGTTGGTGCCCTGAGGACCCGACGAATAGCGTCAGCAATAGAGACCTGAGGGCACCCACTGCTGTCCTCAATGAACACCATCAGCGCCCACTTGGGCTTGAACCCAAGGGTTGCTGAAACTCCTTGATGACAACGACGTGGTCCCTTAAGAAGTCTATCCTAAGGCTTCATTCCAAGCGAGCCTGTTCTGGGTTTTCAGAGGTTCTCTTCTCACCTGCTGTGGGCCTGTGGCTGACTGGTAGCCTATCTGATGGCTGTGGTTGTGTGGGTTCATGCCATGCGGTTGTGGCTGTTGTGTGTGTGGCTGAAGTTCTGAGGTTGACTGTAGTCTCATAGCTCTGTATGATCCTAGTCCAAGGTTGTCTCTTTCATGCTATGTTTTCGGGTTGTGGAGTGTCATCTTGTGGCTGCTATGTCCTGTTGTGACCATGACTCTAGCTATAATGCTTGGCTTGTTGGGACTCAGGCTGGCCTCTGAACTTACTACTCTCCTGCCTCAGTCTGGATTACAGGGGTAAGCCACCAAGCCAGTCTCAATACTGTGGCACTTCTGTGAGTTGTCCTGTGTTGGTGTGAGTGTGCACCCCACAAAACACCTCTCCCTGTGGTAGAGTACAGATCAATCAGACATGGGCTGCAAGCACTCACAAGTACATACTTACCCTCAGCCAAGTCCAGGTCACCATGGCTTGGTCTTCGCTTCAGCCGGCTGTTAGGGAAGATGCTGAAGGGTCCTGCTGGCCCAATGTAGACGCTGGAAAGGGTTGTGTGCCATGAGCACCTTGTAGGCAAAGACCCTGACTACTCACCCTTAGCACTGCCCACAACCCCAGCTCCCCACTGACCTGTTGAGGAAGGGGTGGGGGTGGTAACGCAGGGCCAGTGTGGGCGGAGCTGTTCCTAAGGCAGCTAGCTGCAGCAAGGAGGGCCGAAGGGCACTCAGCTCTGTGGTGGCCATGGCTGCGCCTGTGTGCCTGGTATGACCCAGGTTTATCACTGGCACACCTGGCGGCAACCAGGGGGTGCACGTGTTTTGGTGCACCTCTACAGGAGGGGGCCCAGGTGAGGCGGGCTTAGGGAGAGGAGCAGGCTCTGGGTTGGAGGCATGCGTCATCTCAACTTTCTCCGTCATGGCGGAACCCACCTCTGCCTGGGCCTGGGGTGGGCACATGGACCCCAAGGATGGAATGCTAACCTGTGGAAAGGAGTGGAGTTACTGGGAAGGCCAGAGCCCATCTTTCTCCCATGTTTTGAACCCAACTGAGCTCTCCAATATGAGAGCACCTTGAGGAAAGGAAGGGACTGGGAGTTTAGTAGTCAAAGGCAGATGAGTGGAACTAGCAAACTGCAAAGATGTGAAGGGGGGACCTCCTCCACAAGAGGGGGGTATCTACTAGGTGCTAGGCAGCACTGGCCCTGTGAGTGCCTGCTCAGGGTTGTTTGAAAAGGTCTCTTGCCTCTGAGCCAATTCCCCATCTTTCAGAATCTCTCCTACCTACAGTTGGGGTACAGCAGGGGGTTCCCTAATTAACTCTGAGACCCCCTGAAACTCCAAGATTCACCCTATGCCACCTCTCCATGGTTGTTCCAGGAGCCTCTACCCTTGCTGGAAGTTCCTCTCACTAACCCTAACCCCATCAGCATCCAGATTTTTGCACCCTACTTAACATGCTTGCTGGGATCCAGGGTGTAGGATGTCCTGCCAGTGTGTGACTCCCCACCTCTCTGCCCTGTCTTCCCCAGCTGGAGAAGCTTCTCTGGTTCTTCACTTAGTGTGTCCCAGCTGATGAATGAATAAATAAACTAATAAAGGCAGAATGCAGGCGCAGACTCTCCCTCCTAACTTTCAAAGCGTCTTTCTTACCCTGTAGCAGTTCTCGCTGCCTGGAGTGCTGTGTGGTCAGGGCTGTCAATCCAGGTCAGGAGGTGGTTTCCACTGTCTAGTCCGGCTAGTGTGTCCCAGGTGGTCCCGTTGGACCTCAGAGCTGGGCTGCGCCACCTCCCGGGCTCTGCAGGGCCTGAGCAGTCTAGGAGGCGGCGTGGTGGGTAACCCCAAGAGAAAGTGAGCAGCTCCTGGACGGACCCGCCCTTTCCCCCGCCCCCGACAGCCTGGCTTCCTCCCTCTTACCCCCTGGCGCAGAGGCCAGAGGATGCTGGGCCTGTGCAGATAAGGGTCTGACTGCCTGGCCACGCCTGATAAGGAGTTGTGCTGACCCCGGAGGGAACCAGCAGGCAATGATCACAGAGCGCGCACCTCCTGGCCCACCCCGGCCAGAACACCTATCAGGGCTTACTACTCCCCTAGGCACTGGAAGACCCTGGAACCAAACTCATTGAAAGAGGAAACGAGGCAAAGCTGTCTCTGGTGTCCTCTGCGGTTATTCTGGCTTTGAACCCCACCCTTGCCCAGTGTCTGTGCTGATGGGGGTGGAAGGGGCCTCTTTCCGGTTCTCTGAGGCCCCATGACCCAAGGGCCCCAGCCTCCAGCCTGGTTCCTCTTTTTTACACATCCCCTGTGCTGCCCCCCCCCCCCCCCCCCCCCCCCCCCCCCCCCCCCAACAAGGCACCACACACCAAAATAGAA